TTAGGGCTCTTTTTTAATAAATCGGACCTAAAAGGGTCTGTAAAACCTGCAGCCCAAAGTCGGGACAGTCTCAGTGGTAAGATGGCGCCGGTGTAAGAGCTGCCTCCTCTTAGTGATGGGGGAAAGGGTCATAAATCCGTTGTTGTTTATGAAAATTTACAACTTTGCAATACAACTTTATGAGTTGTTCGGCCCTTCCATTGGCCGCTGTCGGTCATGTGGATAGGAACCGTGAACATGAACTTTTTTATAATTTCCCTTGCGAGAATAGAGCCGCATTCTTGTGCTCCGCTCCGTCCTGCGTGCTTCGGAGCTCTGCCTTCTCAGCCTGCCTGGGCTGCGCTTTGTCCGGCGATGGCGAGCGAGGGGAAGCCACTGCCAGGCCCAGGCCCGCCGCTGTCGCTGGAGGTGGGGCGCGTCCAGTTCCTGGAGCAGCAGCCGCCGCTTTGCAACTCACAACCTGGCTAATTTCCTGCGTCCTCTGGCACCAGGAAGGAGGACAATTCGTCTCCTGGGCTGCTGAAGCGGACAGCTGTCAGAGAGGCAGGAGCTTCTGGGAGCCGCGGTCTGAAGGTGAGACATGTGGGAAGGAGACAGGGAAAGGTGGGTGAGGTACCACGGTGGAAGCAGAGGACACCCAGAACGACTTTGAAAAGGGGCATTTCTCACCATCATCCATTCTGTCCCTTCACACAACAGCCCAAACACGTCACTCATTCTCACCCACTACCGACAACACCTTCGCCACTCACAAGGCAAATCGGCCTTCCCTCTGTGGCACAGTGCCCTGGCACTGGGCAAGAGCGCTTACGTCTTCACTCCCCCTTCCCCGGTGACCCGGGGAAGCCCTGGGGTTTGGGATTATTTCATTCATGACCCAAATTGATTTAACTGATTTCCCCAATATCAGCTAGGTCCCGACCTGGGAATGTGGGCAGAGGGGAGAGAAAAGCGAGGTAGCCCACAACTCTCTGTTTTCTCCAGTGGGGCTAGTCTCAGGGAGAAGGGAGGATGAGGTAAACAAGCAAACACAAAAGCAAAACTTACTAATTCAGAGTTCTCCGGTGATTGCCTGCTTCATTTGCCCGGTTTTCCGACCAGAGTGAAGTCTGGAGCCCCCCGAGAAAGGGGCTAGATGCATATGTCGAATTCTGTGTTGGTGGAAAGAATCGAATTAATTGGGTGCTAATGGGGGCTGTTTCGGTGCAGAAGACTGTTGTGTTGGCGAGTGTGGAAGGACCAAACCTAAGGTTTCTGAAAGAAAATTGCAAAACGGAGTCTGAGAAATAACAGGATGGCAGCCCCAACCAACCTAAGGACAGTGGAAGGATGATGTTCAAGGTCCCCTATCTCTTGAGCAACCAGGGAGAGGACCACAGCTAGCCGCGAGGCGGCACTGAGTGCTGCAGTCCTGGCTGTAGCTTTGCATTGCGCGGTGGTACCAGTCATGGTGGCTGAGCCTGAAAACGCATCTGACCACGTCAGATTTACCCTTCCCGCGAGAGACAGAGACATTGGAGAATGAGTAGCGAGATTCTGGGCTATAGTTCTTTTTTGTTTATTTGGTTTTTGGTTGTTGTTGTTGTTGTTGTTGTTGTTTTCCTATCACAAAATAGTATCTCAGTATAGGCCAGACAATTAAGAATAATACTTTGATATTTGGGGTGTTCAGTGGACAACGCTGTGGGTGCGCCCCAGGCAGGGGCAAATAAAGCGCCGCCGCATTTGCCTCCTAGGGCCGCTGACTGCCTGACTGTGGCTGCCTCGGGCAGATTATTTATTGCGACCGTGCTGGGAGCTCGCTGCTGCCACGCTGTGGCCGTCACCGGGACGGGCGCCAGCAGCGGCCCGCCTCTTCGAGCCTGGCGCGACTGCTGTACGGGGGCCCCTCAGAGATTTCCCCAGAAGCAGGGGAAGGGGGGCGGGCATCAGGGGCAATCTCCCAGGGTCTGTTTGGCTGTGAAACCTCCCTGCTTCGGCTATCCATGACAGAAACCTCAGCCGCCGGAATAGACTCGGGTCCTTCCCTCGCCCACAACCCAGCACCATGGAGACTGGTTGTACAGGCCGCTTGGCCGGTTGTGGCTGCTTCTGTCCAAATTACGCGTCCCAAAGGCGCCCTGGGGGCGCACGTCAGTTGCCAGTCTGGAAAGGCGTTGGCTTTGAGAGTCTGACATCGGAGAGACCAATTGTAGTTCTGAGGCCTTGCTGGCCTGGCTGGCCCTGAGAATTGGATGGAAGGCGGCTCTTGGAGAGGGCCTTTGACTGGCAGAGGCCACACCTGTGTGCTTTGGGCTCTGGGCTAGAGATTTGACTGGATGGAGATGGACCTTCAGGGTCCTCCCACACACCTGCAGGCCCCGCTGCCAGGCTGGCCGAAGTGGAGGGGCTCAATGGGCAGCCCAGGGCAAGGGAAAACTCTGCGACCCTACTGCCATCCTAGCCTCTTTGAAGAGAAGATGAAAGGTAAGTTTTCTGTGTGGCTTTGACTTAGCAGAGAGTCCTGGGGTGGTCACTCTCATAACCTTAGGAGAGGCTCTGTGGAGAGTGTGGAGATCTTGCTCCCCATTCAGTGGATCCATCAGAACTGACTGACTCCCTGCCCCCCCCCATATATACATATGGAAGAATAAACAGGTCCTCTGCCAACTGAAATATGCACTAACCTTGTCTTACACGGAAAGATTTCAATTTAATTTTTTTCCCATCTTAATGTTTACAAAAGCTGGAAATACATTTTCTGGCTCCTAGCTGAGAAATCAAATTCTCTTATTGGCTGAGACAATTAAATCTAGAATCCAGGTCAAATCAAAGCATCATATACGAGTGGTAAGCTGTCACCAGCTCCAACCCTATACGGGACATGGAGGAATGAAAGAGAGACGATAAAAACAAACAATTAACACTTGCAAAATGACTATTTTCGCTTCAAATGACATTGGTTGAAATAATTGTTATCTGCTTTTTTTGTTTAAGAACCAATAACTCAAACTTATTTTCTTCAAAGAGCATTTTAAGGAAAAAAATCTCCCCTTTTTTTCTCCCAAGTTTTCATGTTTTGTGTTTTGTGTATTGCATCTTCTCTGTGAGAAACGCTAAATTTTATCCTCTCTTGGATAACTCTTGGTCTTATGGAAAGAAAAAAACTTTCCTGGGTTGGAGAGATAAAGACTTCGGCACACCATTTGTAGTACAGCCTTCTTTGGTGTGCTTTCATAGGCTCTCTGGAGGCCGACCTTAGGCAAGACCTTTTCCAGCTTTCGCCTTTTTTGAGGGGGAAGGAGGGAAGGTCAGGGGGAAAAAAAGCAAAGAAGAGATTAAGGAAGTCGTTACCAGATTCCTACAGGACCATTCCCAATTGTCCCCTCGGCCCAAACCCGGTCAGTCCGCGCACGAACCAGGGTTTTACAGATCTTACAAGCAACCTCCTGAATTCCAACCAAATCTCATAAACAGTCTCTCTGCCGCCCACGCAATTGGGGATTTTAAAGCCAAATCAAGGGCTTTTATAAGCCCTACAAACACAGCTGTGAAAATGCCATGGAACCGATATCACGTTTTACAAAATGAGACTGGTCCTTATGCATGGAAGCCCGAGACAGGCTTTCCAGGTCCAATCTGGGACTCGTCAGGCCTGAGCCGGTGGTCAAGGCAATTCAGGATTCTGGAGCTAGTGACAGAGTGACAGAACTGTTCTGGTTTTGTAGCTACTGCCCCAGTAGGAGTATTTTGGGGGTGGGGAGGCAGGGGGAAAGTGGGTATGCTCCCACGACAGCGCAATCAACGTACTACCGGGAAGCCAAGCCCATCAATTATCCCCGCGCAAGGATTTGGGCCGCAGGAGCTGCACTCTGAGCCCTGCTCAGCTGGGGCCCTGCATCTCTCTTGCTTCTAGAGTGAGTCTAGGGAGAAAGTGCATGTGGAGTTTTATCTGTCACTGCTCTAAGCCATTCCAGTAGCTTAGGGGAGTCGTGCATGGGACACTGAGTGAGAGGAGTTAAGTCTCACGGATGGCTTCCTAGTCCGGTCTCCCGGTCTCACAAAACACTGTTCTGTAGATCATTTCTTCTTGAAACTATGGGTTTTAGCCTCTCCTTCTTCTGGGTTCACAGACAGGATACACGGTGCACAGTGGGTGTTGTTGCTTGCTTTAAGCCCACGCAGGCACGGACCATTACTGGCGAGTCAAACATGGAGGGCAGTAGTGGGGAGAAGGGGGTACAGGAAGGCCCTGCCTTTGGCCTGGGCCTGGTCTACGAGGGGTGGTCTTTCAGCCTTTGGCAGTAAGGCCCAACCTGTAGTAAGAATGGGAGGGGATAGGCGGTCAGGAATCCCTAAAGCGCGGAGCGGAGCTGAAAAGCAGCGTGAAGGCCTGGCTTCTCAGAGACCCTTCTCCAGCGCAAGAACCCACACCCACTGTTAAGGGAGTCCAAGGGGAGGGGCAGCTCAGGTCCCGCATGGGACAGAGGGCTCTCCAGAGCAAAGCCATTCTCGTCACCGCCCCTTCTGGCTCAGGCTTGTCAGGTTTCCTGTTTGGAGGAGAAAACCAGCAAAAACCAACAAGGCAAAAAGGGAAAGAGGAAAGGGCAGGCCTGGTGGGGCCTTTTCATTGACCTGGGCACTAGTGCCTCTACTCGACTCTGATCTACACATCCCTGCCCGGGCCGTGCCCACCGCTGGCGTTCAGGGGTGTGTGGGGGAGAGCGGGGGCCGGCTGGCTGTGTGCGCCCATTAATCTGCCGGGCGGGCGGCGGGCGGGCGGGCGGGCGGGCGGGCGGGCTGGGGGCTGTTTGTAACTTTGCTGCCTCGGTCGCCGTGGTCCCCGGGGAGCGGGCTCCGGCGCTCGCTCCCATTGGCCGCCGCTGCGTCAGCTGGTGCGATTTGCTGCTGTCGCTTTTGGCGTTCGGCCATCCAGAAACAAACCAGTTCGATGACTACTAATAGTTATAGCCAGATGTACTAATACACAACAAATCACAGTCCTGCAGAGGGGCGCGCAAATGAGTTCCTATTTTGTGAATCCCACTTTCCCTGGGAGCCTGCCCAGCGGCCAGGACTCCTTCTTGGGCCAGCTGCCCCTCTACCCGGCCGGCTATGACACGCTGAGGCCCTTCCCGGCCTCTTACGGGGCATCGAGTCTTCCGGACAAGACATACACCTCACCTTGTTTCTACCAACAGTCCAACTCGGTCCTGGCCTGCAACCGGGCATCCTACGAGTACGGGGCCTCATGTTTCTATTCTGATAAGGACCTCAGTGGCGCCTCACCCTCGGGCAATAGCAAGCAGAGGGGCCCCGGGGACTACCTGCACTTTTCTCCCGAGCAGCAGTACAAACCTGACAGCAGCAGCGTGCAGGGCAAAGCCCTCCATGAGGAAAGCACCGACCGGAAGTACACGAGCCCTGTTTACCCCTGGATGCAGCGGATGAATTCCTGTGCGGGTAAGGCATTTCCCTGCTCCCCCACCCTAGAGAGTGTAGGGAGATGGAAAAGCTGGCAGGCAAGGAAGGAAAGAAGGAAGGAAGGAAGGGAAGAAGGAAGGAAGGAAGGAAGGAAGGGAAGAAGGAAGGAAGGGAAAGGAAGGAAAAAAGGAGAGAAAGAGAAAGGAAGGAGAGATAGGTAGATAGATAGATAGATAGATAGATAGAATAGGAAGAATAGAATGGACAAAGTTTCCATCTGTCTTTTTTTTAATTTGAAAGAGAGAGAGAGAGAGAGAGAGAGAGCCCTAAACATTCCCAGTGGGACAATCAGGCCCAGCCAGAGGAAAGCCTGGGCCAGGAGAGCCATGTAAGGTGACACTTTAGAATGTGTGAAGGATTCATTCACTGCCAAGCTATATGAGACCTGTAACAGGGGCAACAGAATGGGGGGGGTCTGCTCCAGATGAGAAGGCTGCTCAGCTGCACCCTCATAACACCCTTCAAGTTTTCAAGCAAAAGGGGTCTCCAGAAAACACCATGGACATACTCCTCCACACTTCCCCTCCTCTTTCTTCTGCCCTTCGCAAGCCCAGAAACCCTGGCAGGCAGAGGCCCTCTTTTCCTCACTTGACCTCTTTCAATGTCTCCAGCAAAGCTCTGAAGCTTTGGAAGGCCACCTTCTCAGAATATTCCTATTCTCTCTCTCTCTCTCTCTCTCTCTCTCTCTCTCTCCTCCCACTTTTACCTTCCACTCAACTTCACACTTTAAGCCAACTTCTATCTCCTCCTGAGACCATGCCTGAGCCTCACACCTGGCTTGGCTACCTCTGCCACCGGGACAGCCCATCACAGTCCTACCAGGGCCAGATCCCACCAGCTCACCTATGGAATCATCTCTTTACTCCAAGTTTTCCAAGATCCCACAGGGGGTCCCCTTTCCCCCTGCAGCAGGACAGAGCCTCATGAGGGCTTCAGAACTCACCCCCCCCCCCCCACCAGCGGAGAGTTTTCAGATGAATCACAGCGCTTGCTAACAATATGCAAAGATTGGAGAAGGCTGGCCATATTTCAGTTTCCAAAACTACACTGAGATCCCACACGAGGAGCCTCCGTGGCATCTTTCACAGACACCAATGTGAGAATTGAGTTTCCTTGCTGCTCCTAGGATCCCCACTTCATTTACAGACAAATAAACGCTACCCTCCCTTGAAACAGTGACTTTGGCCCCTCAAATTAAGAACGCCCATGCTATTTCCTCGCTTCTAATGGTTTTCTAACAAAACACATTTGTCAAAAGCAATAATTTCCCGCCCTAAGTCGATTTTAGGCGAAAACGTCTCTTTTTTTATGAAATCATCCTTGCCATTCAGCCGGCTTTTTGCCGGTGCTAGACGATGGGGTAGCAGTAGGGAGTTTTCAGGCTTAGAGACTGCAGTGGGAAGGCACACGGAGTGCATTCGTTTGCTCTCGCTTACCCGCCACATATTTCTGCCTGCAGGTGCGGTGTATGGGAGTCACGGGCGCAGAGGCCGCCAGACCTACACTCGCTACCAGACGCTGGAGCTCGAAAAGGAATTCCACTTCAACCGCTACCTGACTCGGAGGCGCCGCATCGAGATCGCCAACGCGCTTTGCCTTACGGAGCGCCAGATCAAGATCTGGTTCCAGAATCGGCGCATGAAGTGGAAAAAGGAAAATAAACTCATCAATTCCACACAACCCAGCGGGGAAGACTCTGAGGCCAAGGCGGGCGAGTAGACTCCAGGGCAGGGACCAGGCCAGCGTCCTAACCTCTATTGGCTTTGCCCCCTGGTGCTCCTGCCTGCTCCCCAAGTTTTGTTCCAGCCTGCTCCCACCCGGGTGCTTCTGCAGCTTAGGGAAGTCCAAAGCTTTGCAGGAGTCTGCGCATTTACTTATTACAGAAAACAAGCAAACAAAACTCACACACCTAATGTCAGCTGTGGGACAGACATACTGTACACACACACAGGTTCTTTCCCCCATTGCTGCCCGAGTCAGCTTGGGAGTCCCGGGGTGCACCCAGAAATGTCCCTGCTGCTGTGATAGCGCCTCTGCGCTCCCTGAGCTACAAACGCGGTGTTGTTGAGGGAAGAAAGAGCCCCAGGCAGTGCCCGGTTTGCTGTCTGAGCTTTTCCGCCTTGGTCCCTCGCCATCAAATCTCGAAGGGCATCGCCAAATCGGCTCTGGCTACTGGAAAGAAAGGGCCTAAAGAGCTGGGCCCCAGCCCTATCGTGGCTTCTCAGGATGCCCCTAAACAAGAAGCCGGAGGAACAAAGGAGAACTCTCCTCTTCTCCGACAGAACCAAGTCTTTCAGCCGCCGCCGCATAACAGTCATTGGGAGAGCTGCAGCTTCAGCCGAGGCGAACCAACCTGGGCGCGAGTGGAATAGTACAAGCTCGGGAGCGACAAAGCTCCTGCAAGAGCCCTGCTCCCGATTCCCACTCCCTGCCTCTTACAGAGTGGGTGCCGCCACCTAGAAGCTCCCAGGACCCAAAAGAGGGGGCCCAGGACCATGGGAGCCTGAAGAGTTCTAGCTAATAAGCATGCCAGGGGCGCCTGAGATGCCAGGCCTCTAGTAGGAAGACTCTGCTCGCCTCTCAGCAACATTTGTGATTTGATTTCGTCTTTTGGAGCCCAGGAAAATAACTACGGAGATACTAGGCACTGCCACGAAATGGTTCCATTAGTTCCTGCAATTTACTCCCGGAGGTCTAAGCAAGACCCCAAAAGCTTTATCCATGGTTCCCAACTTCCAAGCAGCCTCAGAGGCTGCAGGGAGTCAGGGCCCACTCTCTGGGTTCTCCAAGAACCCTGCTACCTGGGGCCCGGTTGGCTGAAGGAACCAGACCAGGGATGAAGATATTCCAGGCTGGATAAATAAGCAAATCAGATAGCAAACTAATGATATGAAAAACGTATTTACACGGAAGAAAAATCGGCTCTGGTTATACGAGTGTATGGAATTTGACCTCGCCTCGGAGGAACACTACACAAAAGCTGTCTTTAATAGACGCTTGTCGTTTAAGAGCGGCAGGGACACTGCCCTTCACGCGCTCACAAATAAAAAAAGAAAAGAAAAAGCCTTAATTGTGACTGCTGCTGTGGGCAGGATTTATTTCTTCAATTGGCTAAATGGTCTTCCCTTCCCCGAAGGTGATATCTGTGTTTTCAAAATTCACAGCTGCGGGCCGGACGGGCAGGACCGACCCCAACCTCTACACAAAAATAAGAGGGGCTACAAAGCCAGGGAAATAAAGTTGTTGTAAATAATTCCAAGTCACCACCTCCCCCTAATCCTCTGCATCCTCGCCGGGCGTGCGATCGGCAGCTGACGGCCTCACAATTGGTACATCCTAATGGAACTGCGAGGGAAATGCAATAATTTTGCCATAATGGGCTGTAACCTCAATTCGACCCCGGCCCTTGCATCCCAAGGTCGGAAGCGATGCGATCCGCCCTGCCTCCAGAGGGTGGCGCTCGAGTCCGACTGAACGGCGGCGGCGGGTGGCGGGCACGCTCCCAGGGCGCGCGCGCCACCCCTCTCGCCTCCACCCAACTCCCCCATTAGTGCACGAGTTTACCTCTAGAGGTCATCAGGCAGGATTTACGACTGGACAACAAAAGCACGTGATTCGAAGTCGTACCCCATATTTGGGTGCCTACGTAGGAGGGAACCGAGTACATGTCCCAGTCATTTCCATAATTCATCATAAATTGTGCAAGGGTGCTATAGACGCACAAACGACCGCGAGCCACAAATCAAGCACACATATCAAAAAACAAATGAGCTCTTATTTTGTAAACTCATTTTGCGGTCGCTATCCAAATGGCCCGGACTACCAGTTGCATAATTATGGAGATCATAGTTCCGTGAGCGAACAATTCAGGGACTCGGCGAGCATGCACTCCGGCAGGTACGGCTACGGCTACAATGGCATGGATCTCAGCGTCGGCCGTTCGGGTTCCGGCCACTTTGGCTCTGGCGAGCGCGCCCGCAGCTACGCGGCCGGGGCCAGTGCGGCGCCCTCCGAGCCCAGGTACAGTCAGCCGGCCACGTCCACTCACTCGCCTCCGCCCGACCCGCTGCCCTGCTCGGCGGTGGCTCCCTCGCCCGGCAGCGACAGCCACCACGGCGGCAAAAACTCCCTGGGCAACTCCAGCGGCGCCTCGGCCAACGCGGGCAGCACCCACATCAGCAGCAGAGAGGGGGTTGGCACGGCGTCCGCAGCCGAGGAGGACGCCCCTGCCAGCAGCGAGCAGGCGAGCGCCCAGAGCGAGCCGAGCCCGGCGCCGCCAGCTCAACCTCAGATCTACCCCTGGATGCGCAAGCTGCACATTAGTCACGGTAAAGCCAGCCGTTTTCTGATCCACGCGTCCGTGGGGGCGCGGGTCTCGGTCACCCTCTGTTCTTTGCAGCCTCTCTCCGGGTCTCTCGCCTAGTCTCGCCTCTCTCCAGCCCGCAGAGCCTCTCCCTGCGGTTTTCCTTTCCCTGCCTTCCTCTTTACTTCCTCCCCATTACTGCAGCAGCATCCTGTATTCGCAAATACTGGGGGGAATGGGGTGGCCGAGCAAAAGTTTATATGTTGAAAGAGGAAGAAATTCCATGTGGAACCCCAGTGCCTTGGAGCGCGCTTAAGGGTCAGGCCAGCCGAGCAGGACATGGAGAGGTAGGGATGGTAGTAGGGGCCGTGAATCGGGCTTGTCAGGGTGGATAATTTATGAGAAGGGCTACGCTGGGGAAACAGCGTTACTAATTACAGCCCCCTAAAAGGGGCTTAGGGGGGGAAATCAGGCGAGGGAAGGCGAGATTCTGAAGTTTGGGGCCAAGAGAGAGAGGAAATGAAAGAAAAGAAAAAGAAAGCGGGCGCCCCAAGCGTATAGGCTGGAACAGAAGGCGGCCAGGGCGGCTGGAACTTTAACAGTGGGTGACCCGGAGGCCACTTGGGAACTCAGAAAAAGGCAGTGCTTTGGTGCGTTTCTGAGAGGTGGGCAGCTTGGGAGGGCAATACCCTGCTTATGACAACTCCTGGAGGGCCAAAGAGAAGAATGGGGTCGAGGGAGAGCCAGGCTGTCCTACAAGACGGGGTTCCAGTCTCAGGTGGGCCGGTTGTGCCCAGAGTCCCAATTCTGTTGTTTTTCACTTCAGAAAGGAAGAGGGAAGGAAATTCGGGAAGGGGGGAAAGGGCGGGGGGGACTTGTTGAGCCTTTTCCCTCAGCTCAGGACCCTGGCTGAGTCTTAGAACCAGGTGCTAAGGAGTTGGTGGCTAAACCGCTGACTTTTCTGTTGCAGACAACATAGGCGGCCCAGAAGGCAAAAGGGCCCGGACGGCCTACACGCGCTACCAGACCCTGGAGCTGGAGAAGGAATTCCACTTCAACCGCTACCTGACCCGCCGAAGAAGAATTGAAATAGCACATGCTCTTTGCCTCTCCGAGAGACAAATTAAAATCTGGTTCCAAAACCGGAGGATGAAGTGGAAAAAAGATAACAAGCTGAAAAGCATGAGCATGGCCGCGGCGGGAGGGGCCTTCCGCCCCTGAGCCTCTGGGCGGTTAAAGTACTGAGCAGTATTAGCGGAGCCCTCCCTCCGTCATGTCAGTACTAAGGTGACTGTCTCAAACTCCCCCTGTGTTCCTTCTGTGAAGAAGCCCTGTTCTCGTTGCCCTAATTCATCTTTTAATCATGAGCCTGTTTATTGCCATTATAGCGCCTGTATAAGTAGATCTGCCTCTGTTCATCTCTTTGTCCTGAATGGCTTTGTCTTGAAAAAAAAATAGATGTTTTAACTTATTTATATGAAGCAAGCTGTGTTACTTGAAGTAACTAAAACAAAAAAAAAAGAAAGAAAAAAAAAACCACACACACAGAAAAAGCCCTCCCCCCCAACCTCGTTTAGTGCCAATGTTATGTGTTGCACTTGAGTTGGTTAACGTGCATGTGCGTGGAAGTGTTCCTGTCTCAATAGCTCCAAGCTGTTAAAGATATTTTTATCCAAACTACCTATATTCCTTGTGTAATTAATGCTGTTGTAGAGGTGACTTGATGAGACACAACTTAACTTGTTCATCGTGTAGTGGCTAGTGACTGTGACGAAAACTGTGACTCCAAGCGGTGTGTCCCTGCGTGCCTTTGTAGGACCCTTTGCACGAACTCTGGAAGTGGCTCTTCTAAGCGCAGCTTCAGTGATGTATGTTTTTGTGAACAAAGTTACAAATTTTGTTCGAGTCTGGCTGTTTAAGCAAACTGTGATCAGCTTTTTTTTTTTTTTGTATTTGTTTTTGAGGAAAAAAATACTGACTGGAAACAAACAATAAACTTTCTATTGTAAGTTCTCTTGGTCGTCTGATTTGTGCCAAACAGCAATCTAGGGCTCTTTCTGTTTTTCTGTCTGTCCAGCCGTGCTGGAAGCTGGTGCGTCTGAGGCTACCTGGGCAGCTTGCCTCTTCAGGGTGGCCTCCCACCACCACCTTGACTCACACGGCCTTCCTAACTCTGAGCCATCAGAAAATTCAGGCCAGAAGCAGGTGGGAAGAAAAGCTGTAAGAGTTTCCAAGGCCTGAGTCAACCCTGTCCATCTCTGAGGAAACCAAGTTAACTTAGTGGGTGCCAAAAAGGAGAGAAAGAGAGAGAAAAGCCAGGGCTTTGTTAGCCACAGTCCGGCCCACACAGATCCTTCATCCCTAAGGCTATCCTAGGCCTTGCTGAAGGGGATCCTCTGCCAGGATGTAGACCTCA